GGGTGGCGGGCACACAATGCAATATACACATCATGTATCATGAAATGTACACTTGAAACCTATGTGACCTATTAACCATGTCACCTCAATAAATTGAACAATAATTTAAAAATACAGGAAACATTAAGTGTTGGAGAAGATGTGAAAAAAGGAAACCCTCGTACACTGTAGGTGAGAATGTAAATTATTACAGTCACTATGGAAAAGACTATGATACCTCAAAAGATTAAGAACTACTATATAATCCAACTCTTGTACTTCTAGAGAACACAAAGACACGAATTCAAAAAGATGTACGTTCCCCTATGCTCACTGCAGAACTATTTTCAATAGCTAAGACGTAGAAATATCCTAAGTATCCACTGATGAATTAATGGATAAAGACGTAATACGCACAGCTGACTGTTGAGACTAACACAAGTCTAAACTGCATATGTCCACTCATACACAACTTTTTTTCAGTAAATGCTATAAATGAATTTTCTCTTCCTTATGATTTTTTAAACAGCATTTCCTTTTCTCTGGCTTACTTTTTTTGTAGGAATGCAGTATATGCTACAATACTTACAACATACAAACTGTGCGTTGACTGTTTATATAATCAGTAAAACTTCCAGTCAACAGCAGCTGTTAGTAGTAAGTTTTCTGGGAGTCAAAAGTTATACACACATTTTTGACCTTGTAGAATGTTAGTGACCCTGCACTGTTCAGAGGTCAACTGTATATACAATGGAATATTACTGAGCCACAATAAAGATGAAATCTTGCCATTTGCATCATCATGGATGGACCTTGAAGGTATTACGCTAATTAAAATTAATCAGGTAAAGAAAGCAAATACCATATGATTTCACTTATGGGGAATGAAAAGAGCAAAACAAAATGAAAACAAGCTCACAGAAGCAGACACTGGGTTGGTGGTTACTGGTGGGAAAGAGGTGTGGAGGCAGGGTGAAATGTCTAAAGGGGGTCAGCCACACGGCAGGCAACTTCTGGTGGTGAGCATGACGTAGTGTGCACACGTGCTGAATTACAATTTTTTTAGACCTAAAAATTACATAATGTTATGAACCAAGGTTACCTCAAAAATAATCTAGAACTGTCTCCTTTTTTCATGAGTGTAAACTTACATTGAAAATGGTACAGGTGATTTCTACAAGGGTAGCAAGAAATTATTCAGTGTTGCTTTTTTATTGACAAATGGCAGTTACGTCTATAGATGTAACTATCAGAATATATAACTGTATCAGAAAATAACCTTGGATAGATATTCCTAAATTACATGACAAAGGACTTAAATATTTTAACATTTCATGCTATTGTATGGAAGCTATTGCTTCCATTTGTGGAAGCACAAATTAAAACCCTTCAGGAGATACTTACCCTTTTCTGTTCTTTTACATATTCTATCAATTCATCTCTTGCTTTTTTCACTGCCTCTTCTACAGCCTTTTCACTTCGCTTTTGCTCCTCGATTATTGCTGCCTTAACAGTTTCCTGTTTGTGGGAGGAGGGAAAAGGTCATGGAAGTACACACTGTGACAAAATCTGTGTCCATTTTATATTAACTAAAAACCCTCTTCAAAGGTTTGAGCTCATTCTGTTCAAAACGTGTCTTTAACCAGGAATAAGAAGCTACAAAATATTTTGAGATCTGTTAGAGATTCCACAGAATGCACTTTTCTAAACTGAGTGAAAGGGAAAAGAAATGGAACAAGCCATTTATTGCAGGGAGCGCCTGACAGACTCCAATGGCTTCCTTACCAACCTTTCATTTGATGTTTACATGATTGATTGCCTTCCTGTACTTTGCACTATCCACATAAGACTTCCAACTTGTGTTTATTCTTCCAAGAACACCCTAATGCTCGAGCTGTTCTATTCACGTTTAATTTTCCCATCCTACAATAATCAAGTGTGGTCTGGGTGGTAAGATTTACAGCTCGTTTGGTCCTCCTGCCAGGTTAAGATGTTGAGAGCTGGACACCATGAATAAGAGGTAAAAATTCCACCCTCTGTGCTAATATTTGAAATGAGAAATCTAGGGAGAGAAAAATGGTACTCCCCATTTTACTGAAATAATAATCAGGTACCTAACAGATTTCAGAATTTCAGACAAGGAGAAAGAGGGCTAAAATTTTGAAAAAAAAATAATACCTCAAACAGTAGTAATATTTTCTGCTGAAATAGTGTTTTGTGATTGGATGAGTTCCACAAAACAAACTTCTTTAACTTCTATTTATCTATACAGGTAGCATCCTTTTTTTGGACAACCTTTCAATGACAAAATACCTTGAAATTTCTCATGAGTATTTCCTTCATTTTGTTGTTCTTAAGGACTCTTAACATTGAAGTTTTTATTTATGTAACTTTTCTCAATTAATTTAAAAAAATCTTCACCCAAGGATATGATTTTATTGACTTTAGAGAGAGGAAGGGAAAGAGAAAGGTGGAAAGGAGGATGAGAGGAGGGGATTGGAAAGGAGGTGAGGAAGAGGGAGAAAGAGATATTGAGAGAGAGAGAGAGGGAGAGAGAGAGAGAGAGACAGACAGACAGACAGACAGACATCGCATCTATTGGGCTGGCTGCCTCCTGTATGTGTCCTGACTAGGGATCAAATCAACAACCTAGGTATGTGCCCTGACTGGTAACCGAACCCACAACTTTTCTGGTGCATGGAATGACACTCCAACCAACCTTGCCATTTGGTCATGGTTAATTTTAGACGTGTATATATGACCCAGAAAATGTAAATTAGTAACAATTTCCTATTGTGAATATACTTACTGTAGAAAATTTCAAAGAACAGAAAATATGAACACAAAACAATATACATATACCCCACATCAGTAAAGTAGGATGAAGCTCAAGTGCACATACTATTTTCTAACTATGGCATTTTCAGTTAAAATACATTTTGAATATTTTAAGCCATTATATGTTCTTTTATAATTTGTATTTGATTACAAGAATTTAAATATAATAGCTTGTTTTACCAATCATTACTCATGGGTATTTTGGTTGTTTTTAATAGAATACATCTGTGATAGCATTTATATATGTATCTTTGTGATGTGTGTCTTTTATTTCCTTAGGATCAATTCAAAAAGTAGAATCATTTTGGCTAAAGGATATAATTTTGATATAATCTTACAGCTTTTGACATTTTGCACAAAAATTTTTCCCATGAAAATGGCTGTGTTATTATATTTTTTATTATATTTAATCTTAACAGTTTATTGAGGAAGAATGACATCTGACTTCATTCTGCATTTTAAAAATATTATGTGATACATATTTTTATAAATATACACATTATTTCTTATCATTTGCTTGATCATATACTCTTGCCACATTAACATTAGTATACTCTTAAATTTTGGGTTTCTTTCCTATATAAAATTGTCACAAATCTGAAAATCCCTATAATGGTGACTTTGAAATTTTTTACTATTTTATTTTCAATAAGCTTTAATTTCATTGATAAAATGACAAAATACTAAGTTACTTCCATAATTATTTGAAAAGTTGAAAAGCTATAGTAATTTTTTAAAGTATAAGAATATTTAAAATAAAAGCATCTATAATTAAAATTCCTGTTGGTTGCATATTTAATAATTTGGAATTTGAAAATTTTCAGATTTTTACAAAGCAAAAATATTTCATGTATTAATGAATCCCTAATTATATGAAATAAATCATATAGCTAGTTCTGCAATGAAAAGTATGAATATTCAACTATAAGGGTAAATTAAAAGTATAATAGCTTCACATCTGTTCAGGTGACATTATGTTTTGCCAATAACCGAATTACAAAAATCAGTTTTCAGAGCTTTCAGAATTTTAGAAGTGCAGACAAATACTGTAGACCTGGATTATTTGACTGTAAAGATAGATCTGTCCTACATTAAATGGCAATCAGAATTTCTACCTAGCAAGGGTCATACTGGTTAATTTGACCAGACCTATTTGAAAGCAAAAGCTCAGTTTAAATAAAAAGAATACATCCAGAAAAATAACATGAAGAGTTTACTAATATGTTCTTCAGTTGACATTTTTGGGGGGATTGAGAGTTTATATTAGGTGCTCAGTCCACATTTTTGAGAATCTTCTAATCTTCGAGCTGACAAAGAACCACTTACAGAGAAAAGTCCCCTTGACCCTCTCCTCTCAAACAGGTGTTAGATGACAGGCAGGGCTCTGAAATCAGTCCTTACAAAGTGCCGGTCAACAAATAAATCCCTTTAAATATGATGCAAAAGGGAATTTTAAAGCCTTCCATTTTCTAACCAAACCAAATTCTGAATCAGTTGGAGATGATTAAATAATTGTGTATGCCTGTGAGTATCTGCCTGAATGCTCTATTGAATCCAATGAATGAACTAAACTGTCCCAATGAGTCATGAGAATTAGTCCAAAATAAAATATACCTAACAAGGAATGGCAATTTGAGACAATGAATATATTCAAATAAGAAATTCTAAAAGTCTATATTCTGGAATATTTTAGTAATGGCCACACCATTGGAACATGGTGTGTTCTCTAAGGAAAGTTTCCTCAACCTCAGACTACTGATCATTCTTTGCTGGGGGAGGGGTGGGCGTTTTTCGATAAACAGCATGCTTGACATCTACTCACTGGATCGCCTCCCACTGAGAAACACTGCTGTTCTAAGGTAAGCAGTTTGGAGAGGAAAACATCCACTTGTATATATATTTATGGTTGGTTTCTTAAAATATTCAGTTATGTTTCTCATCATAAACTAAATATTTTTATATAAAAATATAGGCAACAAATCATGTCCAAATAATTATATAACTAGTTTTTAAGCGTGGAAGAATGAGTTCTATGTACTAATTTTTGAAAACACTGAATGACTGGAATCAGTTTCTATACTGTTACAATAAAACAAGTCACCGAGAATGTCAATGGGGGCTAAAAGCTTATATGAAATATCTGCACAAGATTTTAAAAGTTCTCTTTATTGGTTAAAGTACAGTTATGCTTTAGTACCCATTAAATTGACCATACATTTCCACAGTCACAGAATCTTGAATTAATAAGTAGCCTTGGTTGTTTGTTCTTTATCAGTGCAATTTTATTTAAGGATTGTCAACACAGTTAAAACACAGAAAAATTCTCAGCAATCAACTCCATTGTGATCTGTGGGAGGTAATCTATTGTATCAAACATTTTCTGGGACAAATATGTGCTTTAATTATTTTTTGTTTCTATACAGCTTATTCTTTATGTATTTAATTATGTGTCATTTAAAAAGTTTCGTGTGGTTGTAAAAATACACCTTAGAAGATGAGTGTTTGAATCACAGGAAACTGCTTTATATACTTCCTGAGCATCAATGATTAAAAGGAGAAGTGAGACTTCTGTTCCTACAGAAATTTACGAGCTCAAAACACAGTTCCATTGGTAGTACAAATGAAATGTGCATATTTCAAAATCCATTTACTATGCATCTGAGATACTTTCCTCTAACTTTTAATGGAAAGTAATTAGTCTGCACTGTAATTATATGCTAAATGGAAAACATTAATAGATAGTAATTATAAAAATGCCTGTCTAGTGATGAATATGCTCAATTAAAATCACATACTCGTTGACTGATATCAAAATTTGCCAGTACCTGTGTGAAAGATATTTTAAAAGATGATATGAATGATGAATCTCAGTTATATCAGCATTAATGAGTATTTGCAACCATTTTTGATAGGGATACCTAACTTTAAATCACAACAAAAAAACTCCATCCCCCCCAAAATTCTCTTCTTCTCACTAGATCTATATTATTTTACTGTATTTTTACTTTCATCCATAAAAAACTGCAACAATTTGTGGTTTTCATTATGTAAGTACCTATATAATACTCTCAATTAAGCCTCTTGACCCATTCAATCCCCAATATTTACTATCTGGCCCTTTACAGAAAAAAAGCCTGCCAATCCCTGATGCAGGTCACGATTCTGCATTGGCCACCTGGGCTGGGCTCAGCTGGACAGTTCTCTCGGTCTTGGCTGGACTCTCCCAGGTATCTGTCTGTAATCAACGCGGGGGCTGACTTGGCTGTTATTGCTAGAATGGAATCAAAGAGAATAGCCTGTTTCTCCTTACTGCAGTTTCCCATTGTCCAGCAGACTAGCTCAGGATTTTTCACATAGCTGCTGGATAGAGTTGCAAAAGAGCAAAAGAATGTAAGGCCTCTTAAGACTTGGGGTCAAAAACGACAGTGTTACTAAAGTAACATTATATTGGCCTGAGCAAATGTGTAGTATGAACTGATTTCCAAACTCTCATTGTCTAAATATCTAGTCATTATTTTCAAATACATCAGAAATTCCATTATGTTTATCTTCTTGGAGAGATGTCTCCAAACTGGGTTGGTTGCTCTCTAGCTCTGTTACATAGCTATTTTGGGATCTCCCTCAGGCATATTTCCAGGGATCTACTGTATCTCTATTGAATAGTACCTCTAGCTTTCTAAACACACTCCGTTGTCTGAATATAATGCCTTTATTCTATCTTCACACTTAATTTATAGTCTCACTAGCTTGGAAATGTCTGCAGTTTTAAAGGTTGTTGAGTCTGATTCCATTCTGATTCCTCATCATTTGCATATTTTTTTTTCCTGTATGGGAACTTTTATGCATTTAGCTGTTTCTCAAAATATTCCTGACAAACCTAGTTATAGGTCTATCTAGAAATTCATATCTTACATTCTAGAAACTCATGTCCTTCAATTCTGGGAGTTTTTTCCTTTAATAATAATAATTTATTATAATTATTTCCTGTATTCTATTTTGTTTTTTCCCCTCAAAATCCTACGATTCAACTAATGAACCTCCTGAGTTAATTGCCTAATTTTCTGATCTTTTCACTGCTGTTTTCATTTTTTGTATTTTTATATCCATTTCTCTGAAAGACTTCTATAACTTCATGTTTTTAACTCTCTACCATATTTTGAAGTTTTAATGTTTCATAGAGGTAAAATCTTCTTTTACTGCTGAGGAGGTTAATAATAATTTTTTTAAACTCTTCATGTCCCCACAACATCTGCTTTCTTCTCTGCTTTTCGTAGAACTTGACTCTTCATACTTGGCTATTTGCTCATGTTTAACGAGGGGAGCACGAAAATGCTGAGTAACGTCTCTGTGCGCGCAATTGTGGTTTATAGACTGTGATCTTACAGCAGAGCAATCTGGCTGAGTTGCTTCCTCGGGGCAATTTTTGATACCAATATATTTAGGTCTTTTTTCTTGAGCTGTCTGGATTCCTCAGAAAAGAATCTTCCCATTTCCTGTCTGGTTGTCAGCACTCTGAGAGCTGGGATGGGAAAAATAGCTAAGGTTTTCAGTAAGCAACAGAAAACTCTTCACATTGCTCTCCTCCCAACCCCATTTTATTATAGCACCTGTATCTGCAACTGTGCTTAGTGACCCCCAGGCCACAGACCCTGCAATTTCTTGTTTCATTTTTTGCATAGAACCTCAGTCTTCGGCCAGGATTGGAAAGAACAAGTGGGGACTTAACTGCTTATTAAACAGACTTTTAAACTTCCCTTCCATCTGAAGTTTCATCTTCATTCTCACTTCCAGAGGTATCCTGTGCCACTAACTAGTAAGCTTCCGGAGTTTCTACAAGGTATACTGATATTCTCAGTTGTCTCTAGTTCTAGCTTAAGGTTGTTTCAGATTTTTATTTCAGTGGGGTTTTAGGAGGCAGAGATAAAAATGAGTATTCTAACTATTCCTTTCAACTAGACATGTCTTAGAAAAAATATGTCAAACTTTTATTTTGAAACAAGTTCATATATCTTTAATCTAGCTTCCCCTAATATAACATCATATAATAATATTGAATAGACTACAGATTTTATTTGTATTCCACAATGATTCCCCCAATATTTTTTCTGTTCCAGGAGTACTCTAAGGTAAAACATTGTACTCACATCATATCTCATCACTCTCCTCTAGTCTGACAGGCTTTTAGTTTTTCTTATTATGACACTGATACTTGGGAAGAGTGCTTTTCAGGCACTTGAAGAAACGTGGATGTTTCTTTTTTTCTTATAATATAGACCGGCGTTATAGATTTTGGAAAAGAGTACTAAAGATGAAGATGCTTCTCATTACATTGTATGGGGGTATGTGGCATTAAACATAATTTATCACTGAAGATGTTAACCTTGATCATTTGATTAAAGTGATGACTGTCAGGTTTTTCTAGTGTAAAGTTAAGATATTTTCCCTTTCTACAGTTTATTAATTTGAAAGCAACAACTAAGCCAAGCCAACACTCAAGCAGAGGTAAATTAAGTTCCATCTACTGAGAAAGGAAATATCTACATCTATTTTTTATCAAGACATATGACTACTTAAAAGTACAGATACAGTTTATTCTATAGCTATATAGTTATGTAGCATTTCTAACTCCACTTGCATCAGTTTTGGAATTTATATTTTTCTTGGAAATTTTTCATTCCATCTAAGTTTTACAATTGATTGGTATTGTTATTAACACTGCTTATAGAACTTTAAATTTGTACAGCACTAGGCCACTTTATTCATTCCTCTAATAATGTGTATTAATAGCACCCCTCTTTATTCATCAATCTTGTCAAAGACTTGTGAATTTTATGTCTTTTAAAAAATGAAGTACAGTATTTTGAAACTTTCCAATCTATATTATGATTATCTTTTATAACCATTATTACTTCTTTCTATTTTCTTTGGCTTATTCTATTTTTCTTGTCTAACTTCCTTAATAAATTGGAAGTGTTAGCCCTTACTTCCCAATTTTTTCTATTTTTTAATATAGGTATTAATATTCTAATATGGCTATGATTTTCTCTGAAGTAAAAACTTAGATGCTTCTCATAATTTAAAAAAACTATTTTTAATAATGACTGCGTTTTTCCTTTGTACTCAGCTTTTAAACAAATTTACACATGATGAAATACACAAACCTTAAGTGTATAGCTCTCTCTCTCTCTCTCTCTCTCTATATATATATATATATATATATCCACTTACCCACTACCCAGTGAAGAAAAAACATTTCTTTGCCTCAGAAACATCTCTGATGTTTTTCCCCATCATAAATAAACACTATTGTGATTTATATCATCATTGATCAGTATTTTAGTCTGTTCTTAAAGGTCAGAAAAATTAAATAACAGTATTTATGCTTCTGTGGCTGGCTTTTATTGTACACATTTTTGAGATTCATCCATACTGTAGAGTGTATCATTAGTTTGTCTTTCTTATTTTGGTGTAGTGTTCCTTGTATAAATATACCACAACTTATTCATCCATTCTACTACTAATGGATTTTGGAATATTCCCATTTGGGATTATTATGAATAAAGCATCTCTTCCTTTACATATCTTTTGGTGGACATAAGCATTAACTTCTGTGGCTTGTACAGGCATGCCCTGTCTTACTGTCCTTCACTTTACTGTGCTTCAGATACTGCATTTCATCAACATCAAGGCAAGACCCTCCATCAGCAAAACAATTACAGCTCACTGAAGGCACAGCTAATGGTTAGTAATTTTTAGCAAAAAAGTATTTTTAAATTAAAGTATGTACATTGTATTTAGACATAATGCTATTTATACATTTAATAGACTATGATATAGCATAAACACAGTTTTTTATATGCACCAGGAAACAAAAATCTGTGTGACTCACATTATGGCAATACTTGCTTTATTGTGGTGGTCTGTAAGTGAACTTGCAATACCTCCAAGGTATGTCTGTATACATAATTGTGGAAATAGGGGGTATCAGAGTATACATGTGTTGAGCCAATTAGCAGATACGTCTGCAGTTTTTTAAAGTGGGTAGACAAATTTACCTCCTCCCAGAATGTGTGAGGTCAAGCTACTTCACATCATCATCATCAACAGTTAGTATTGTCAGTTCCTTTAGTCAAACTCGTACCAGGGCAGAGAGAGATGTATCGGTATCTCACCGTGACTTTAATTCACACTTCCTGGAAGAATAATGGTACTGAGCACCTTTTCACATGCTTTTGGGCATGTTTACATGTTCTTTTGTATAGTGCTCTTACTTTTAGATTGTAGCCTTTATTCTGGAGAGTATAGCCCTTTGGGGTTCTCAAGTGAAAGCCCTTGATTTACCAGAGCCCGTCCACCTTGGCAAGACTTAGCCTCTAACTCTCCTTCCCCGAGAGTGTCTGGTCAGCTCCTTAGCCTCCCAACTTTTCTTTTTCTGTTGACGGATTTCAGAAGTCTTCCCTCTGTGTACGCAACTTGGGGTCTGGCCAGTCTTGTGAAGTGGGTGGATATCTGAACAACTAATTTTTGTTCTAGAATTTGTTCTGAAAATCTGCCCCTTGGCAAGGCCTGAACTTCTGCCTCATAAACTTTTATAAGACTGAAGTTTTCTGCTTGAATTTTAATTCTACATGCTGCCAAAGAGAAAATGCTTTTTAAAGCCTGACTGTAAAATTTACCTTGACCATTTTCATTTTCTCTAGTACTGAAATTCCTCCACCCACCTGCATTTGTTGCTCTACAATGCCTTCACAAAGCTGTTTTACCTTCACTGTACAGCTGTTATGATTGTGTGTGTGTGAGAAAAAATTAGTCCCACGTAGTATATGTCCTTATGGGTAGAATAAAAAGTTCTACTCATTAAGTTTTAAATTCCAATATTATATCTTTTACTTTTAGAAATTATCTTCAGTTTTCTTAAAAATTTAGCTGGTCATATTTTAACAGTTTTTATCTTTTTCCTTACTTAAAAAAGAGATTTACAAATGAAAGATTTTTTCCCCCTTTAAACAAGTTCTACAAAGTGTTATTTAATTTTTAAATTCTACACAACAATACCTTTGTTCCATTTGCCATCTAGCATATTTTTTCTCCTATCACATGGTACTTTGTTGTGGGTAGGAACGATGCTATCCTTGCACAAAGGATTCAGTGAGAATCTGTAGTAGTGCGGTACAAAAACCTACAAGCAACCTTGTGAAGCACAGATATCAATATATCTCTGGGATATAACAGTCCTCAACCACACTTGCTTGAATAAATGTATGACAATATAAAGCTGTTAAAACAGAAGAAGCCTCAAAATACTTAAATATTCTGCTTTTCATAAATGTAAATAAATACAATGAATATTTGCTATTTGAAAATAAAACTATTAGCAATAAATGATATAACTAAAGAACACTAAAGCACTTAAATCTTGCTAGTTTATTAAAATGTAATTTGTTTACTATTCAGAACAGAATCCCACTGAAAAACATCAATTATCAGTTGTTTGCCCCAGACACAGGTGATATGAATTTTATCAGTCACTGAAATTTCATGTCACAGACACATGTTTGATCTGATACCCTGTTTGCAGTAACCAGGTTCAGTCTTTTCCCCTCTGAAATGTTTGTCTTTTCTTCACCATTTTAACTGCCATCACTTGGGCTAGGCTGCCCACTTCTTGCATGTCAAGTATTCTAGCAACTTCCAGGGAGTATCCTTAACTTCAGACTCCTCACATTTAAGGCTGCCAAGGTCACCTTCCATAAAGGATACTTAGCCCTTGTCACTCTAGTGCAATGAAGTCTTCAGTGGCATTCTATTTCTGGTAGTAATCAAGGTGAGTTTGATTATTTACCTTCTAAGTTCTTGCAATCTGTTCAAGCATATAAATTCAGTCTGTTTTATACTACTTTCCCAAGAAACATTTTCAATTTCTGTCATATCGATACCCACCACCCACAACACACCCCTCCTTTGTATTTTCAAATGCCTCAACACATAGATGTGCTCTGTCACAGCTCATTTTGTCTCACGTTAGGGCAATGTATGGATCTGACATACTCCCTAGTTCACTGTAAGGTCCTGAAGACAATGGCAAAGTCTCATTCATGTGTGTAGCCTCTGTGGAAATCACCATTCTGTCACGCACACACTAAGTATTCAATTTGCAGTTCCCTGAGAGAGCAGTTCCATGCTCTCTCAGCTTGGAATGGCTTCCCCTTATCCTTCTCTTCTGATAACCAAGCCTCCTCCTCCTCCTGCACAATTCAGTTTAAGCATCGTCATCTCTAGAAGCCTTCCCTGAAATGCTCCAGATCTCCATTTCCTCCCAGTGTGCATAGAGCTACTACCATCCGTACCTGCTCCAAGAGCACTCTACATTTATCTCTAAAAGCACTCTGCAACTCAGAACTGTGTAACTGCTTTACATGTCCATCTTACCAAGCTGAGATCCCTTTGAAGTCAGGGGTTATATTTGTCATAGTTCATATTCTTTATGACTCAAACTCTAATGTAGTATCTGGTACAGAG